TAATTATCTTGATTTTGATAATCATTCCACAATGTACATATACATTAAATCATAACTTTGTACACTTTATATATATTTCACTTATTCCCCAATAAAATTGGAAAAATATAAGTAAATATATTGTTTAAAAAGGAAAAATGAAAGCATATGAAGAAAGGAAAGCAAAGAAATGCTAAATTTGGAGTAAAGTTTACTCTTCAGGAGAACAAGAGGAGACCAAGTGGTACCTCTCGCTTCCATAGAATCCTCACATGCATATTTGTACGACTTAGTCTCACTTACCCCCTCTGGCTGCAAATTATATAACTTTCTACCTCTTAGATATCCTAAGGTTTGCCATATAAAAAAGATAAACCCTAAGAGGAACAATAAAATTTCAGTGATTATAGCAACTATAAATATACTTGAAGAAGACAGATAAATGTTTTTTGCCATTCTGCTTGTCAGGTAGCATCTTGTAGTATCCACAGGGCTCTTATGTTTATACCCTCTCCCATTACTGGCTTATTTTAGACCAACTCACCTGGTTATAAGAACTGTCTGGGGAGTTCATTTAAAAAAAGATTCCCGATACCTTATTCCAGAGAGTCTGATCCAATGAATTTGGAACAGGACCCAGGAAACCTTTTTCTAATGCTCCAAATAACTTTCATGATTAAGTTTGGTAAGCATGGTTCTAGATTTTTATCCAACTCATCCTCTAAACTCAGTTTTACTTTTGATCACTGTGAACAGTATTTTCACTAGTCATACTTCGGGGGGAGAGAGTGGCATATACTCTCCAGTCTGCTCACTGAGAAATATCCTCCCTAAATGTTTCAGCACAAAAGGGAAACCCAACTAGGACTGACTTTAAGTTATAGCAAAGTAAAGTTAATTAATACCAGGCCCGTTTCTTGATGAAGGTTTTGATAGAGGTGTGTTTCAAGAACAGGAAGGTATGAGTTACTCCAGTGCAGACTGAAAAGGAAGTGGGCACAGTTAGTGGATACAGAACTGAGGGGGCTGGATGGCAAGAAACTGGTAAGTTACTTACAACCTAAATGAGTCCAAGCTTTGCTCCTTGGAAATAAATTAAATCCAATAGTTGATTGAAAATGGGCTTAATTTGCAAAAGGCTATGTGGATTTTGCTGATGTTAATTTTTTTAAATGCAAATGATAACATAATACTTCCACTGAAATTATGAATAGAGATAAAGCTGAGAATTTACTAGCACACAGAAAAATTTCTAAACTCCAGATTCAATCACAACCATTTGAATAAAATCCAACCTTGACTGTGCTTCTGCAAATGGTATCAAGAGGTATTTTGGGAGAAAATGTACTAAATATCCTAGAGGATGTCAATGCTACTGTGAATGGCATTAGTGACCATCAAAGGCAGTATTTATAACAGTAAATGGTCAAATTTTTACCACTATACAGATAATAAATGATTATATTAATGGATCTGACCATTTTATCTCTCCACATTCCTAACATAACCAGTGAATTTTGTCGGAAGTTTTGCCTTCTTAAGTGCATTTGTTAGCAGGATAAGCAGAAGGGGAGGTACGGGCAACACACCAAGATTCTTGCTAATAGAAGGAACCCTCAGGACAGGGTCTAGAATGAGCCCTTCACTCTTGGCATTCACTAACTTTAGGAACTACTTTATATCTAATCCAAGCCACTGCTGATTTTAACACACTTTCCAATTCTAGATATGCTAAAAGGTAAAAAAAAATGTGCATCTTAGAATCTTGCAACTCTTAAAGAAAAACAAATAGGCAGCCTCCAGAGGTTTTAAAGGTATTTATCAAAGAAACTCAAAGGAGAGTAGATAAAGGTCTGAAAATGGTCAATCCCCAGGTCAGTCCCCAAGGCACTGATACCTGCAAGGGTGACATGAGTGGCTTAAAGTTACTTTGTCACAGCAGGAGAACGTTTGTCCTCCTAGATAAGGCTATGATAGGCAATGGACAAGGACATCTCTCAGAGCAGATCTGAGCAGCCAGACTGGGGGACCATGGAATCTTCTCTACCACCAGATGGAAGAGCTCCTGCTACTCTAGTCCAACAGAATTAGGTATATGCAAGCACTGTTGACCACTCTAAGTTGTTTCTCCTTCACTTTCTACATGTAGGCTTAGTGAATTTATCCCCTCATTCCTCTTCCATTACCCCTGCAGGTGGTTATTGAAAATACCACTTAGCATTCAGTGAGTGGGCCATAAAATTTCCCCATTTGCATCAGATTCAAGGCAAACACACATTCCCTAAAGATCCTACACTTGGACCTGGGAGAGTAAAGAGTGAGATTTGGGTTTGTACCTCTCTTGGAAGAGATGATTGTGCTTATAGTATACAGGAGGGTTGCATTATTTGAGGCAAGGGCATTACAAACTTATTCAAGTATGAAGAAGAGCCCATGTAGAGAAAAAAATGGGTCACAGGTGGTGACCATTACAGATATCTGAGGAAAAATCCAGACTTCAACATGGACATCATCTATACCACATCATTTTGATATCAATCCTCTAGGATTGCTAGCTGTAAGATCACCTATGCTGGAAAGCATATTTGCTATTATGTGGAAACAGCTTGCCTAAAATGAATTCATCATAGAGGAAAGTAAATCCTGAAGAGGGAACAGAGAAAGTAGAAAGTGTGTGTGTGTGTGTGTGTGTGTGTGTGTGTGTGTGTGTGTGTGTGTATGTGTACAAAGGAGTAGGGCAAGAAGGAAGAAGAGATAAGAAGAGTGGACAGATCAGAATTCCTAGAAGCATGAGAAAAAAATAAAAGTTTAATTTGGTTTTCTTTCACTGTCAATTGAAAGAGGCTGCAATACAGAAGGAGTTGGCTTTTGATCCAAATTTCACAACTGCTTTGCAAAGGTGACATCAAAGGAAACACTTATTGATTGTCATTAAATCAGTGAGAAGAGAAAGGAGGTTTTGTATCTTACCTCCACAGAAAAACTAAATCTAAATTCACCACAATACAAAATCAGGTAATATCCTGTCATTGAGGTCAGCACCAAACAGCCAAAATACCTAACACTTTTTGAGTTCTTATTATGTTCCAATCATTTATACACCATTAAGGACATACTTACATTAACTCCTCCCATCCCCTCAACAACCAAATGAAGTAGTTTTACTCCACTGTACAGATGAGAAAACTGAGGCCTAGAGAAGATAAACAATTTGCTGAAGATCACACATCCATCTGGTATTGGAACCCCAGGATTTTTTCCCTTAATCATCCATTCCCTTAACTGCCATGCTCAACTGGGGGCAAGTATACCAAAAAGAGCACTTTCCAAATACCAGAGGAATTCTTGTATTTAACTTTATCTCCCGTCCAAGTCCAGAGTAAGACAAAAAAGTGTTTTCCTTCTGCCAACAATACCACTAACATTGCTACACTGATATTATTCAGCAAATAACTTTCCCTTAGTAATCATGGTGAGAGCTCTCTACCTAAACATTAGAGACTGTTTTCCAACCAGCACAAACTCAGCTAGAAATAGACCCCAAAATCCAAAAGTAGTGGGAGAGGTGGAATTTATTATTACTAATTGCACTTCAAGATTTATTTCAAGACCTGACCGACCATATTTCAGTGTTGGACGCTAGAGCAGAAGCTAATGTGCCTGGCTGTTCCTCAGCGTTGGTGTTCAAACTTATCCCACCTCAGCCCTCATGACAGTACACCGCTTCAGAGAGCTGAGCGTTCAAAGGAATGCGACTTCTGCAAACAGCGTTCTTAATGCCAAACGATAAACCATCACAGTTGTGGGGAAACTTGTTCATCTACCAGGAAAATATTCACCAGTTGGTCATTCACTTTCCTTTGGCTATTTGGACATGTTTTTTTAGTGTGTATTAAAATACCCGTGAGATCTCCAATCTTAATTATGAAGCTTGAGAAAAAATATCCAGTGAAAGTTATTTTCAGGTACAATATTAGAACCTCCTTTTAAACTCCTTTACTTCAAGATGTATGTCATTGTAAGGGCAAAGAAATCAAATGATAAAAACACCATATACTACAGGTAAGAAATGACAAGTAAACCAGACGCAGGCCAGTTTCTTGCTACAAGTTCCAGTGGAGACAACGATTAATGTGGCTGAAAGAAGATGTAGTGTGGAGAGAAAAATCTCCCAGGATAATCAAGGGATATATTTCCAAGTCCATTTCGCCCCACAGAACTGTTTTGTTTTCTCACATCAATGAGCTAGAATAAAACGTGGATCCCATGATTAAGCTGGCAGAAGTCATGCTCCCTACCTGGATGCTCGCAAATTGTAAATCACAACTTTACAAGGATTTAACTTTTCCCTTTCCAAAATAATCAAATGTTGTGGTGAGGGGGCCACTAATCATGACAAAAAATATACTGCAAATTCTTTCTTTTGGTGCCAAGTCCAATAAGTTCTCTGAGTGAAATTAAATGCACAATCTTATTCCAAACCACAGCTTCCCTTGGGGATATTCAAATCTCAAGTGGGGGCTGAAAGGCCATTTGTATCAAAGCCCAGGGTTACACCCATTTTTTCAAGATTTTTTTCCCCCTTTTTTAACTACTGCCTGTAGTATAAACGGCTCAGGCCCCTATGCTTTCCAGCCTTTACAGTCAAATCGGTGCTTCATACTTTCCATACTCTGCCTCAAAAAAGAGTGAGCCAGTCCCTGACTTCTCTTAGTTTCTCACAGTTTTTGTTTATTTTAAGAGATTCTCTGCTGAACTCTAGGGGAGGGGAAAGAAAAGGAGAGGGGGAAGGGGGTGGGAATCTGTTATGTTGTAAGCAATTACTGGCTCCATCTCTTAGATCTGCAATATCACAGGAATTAGAGATGGAAAAGACCCATTAAGTCACCCTATGTACCCTGTGCCAACACAGCGCTATTCCCTACTGCAGATTATCTCTTCTGAGAGGTTTTAATATGTTTAAAGGGTCGCCAATGATAACACAGTCTCATTTTATTTCTTGGCTGCTTTATTCTGTCCAGTCTACAGCATGCCATTTCTAAGGATGGCTCTAGGGTGACTTCTCTAAGGACATTTTGACTTCCCATGAGGAATTAAAACAACATTTGTGCTCTCCAACAGCTATGTTCCGCAAGTTCAGAATGGAAGCATCTAGAAAAACAAATTTTAAAGAACCACCATTTAGTCCCAGGGATGGAAATGTTACATATAAAACAATTTTACATAGACCTAGTTTATATAGCTAGCACATTATACCATAATATAATTGTGTGAGTGTGCATATATGTTCACATAGAGTGCAAATATTCATCATTACCCCAGAGTGTTCTGTTTTCTAAACATTGTGCCAAATGCTGCATAATTCACAAAAATGTGATCCAAAATATTTAAGGTTATGTTTCTCACAATTTTCTTCTTATCTCTCTTAAGTCACACATTTTAAATGTCAACTTGCCTAGAGAAACATTTAATTTCAAGGATACTCCTCCATCAAGAAATTCTTTAATCTTCCCTAGTTTAGTTTTTCTTCTATGTTCTTATCCTAAGATAATATAGTGTTTCAGTTTACTTTTTAACATGCCAAGCCTAGGTATCCCTACATATTAGACTACAAGTCTCATACCTCAGGAAATAAATACAATCTTAGGGAAACCTAGCATAAAGAATGAACACATTGTGTGTTCTTGACTGGCTACCATCTTAATCCATTGTCCTTAAAGGCTACCTGGAAGAAATAAAATCAATATTATTATTTGAAAGCATATCATCTTGAATTATAATCAACATTGATTGAATATGTGTTTTTATTAGGCCATATTCCAAGTTGTGCAGTATTTTCTGGGCATAACATAGAATACATTTTCATTTTTAATACATTTAACAAGTTGGCCCATCTTTGATAATTGTGGTGGAGATAAATAATTTCTCACTGCTTTACTGAAGGCAGAAGAGTTTAGTAATCAAAAGTCTGAAATATGGACACTTTATAAATGTTGTGATTATAGGTCACTTCTAGGTGAATTTGGTCAAGTTATTCATAATACTTTATTGGCTGTAAGGGGTCATGGATTCTAACACTGAGGATTATTTTATGTACTGTGAAGAAAATAAAAGCAATGCTAATTAAATGATGACATGATATGCATTTATCACTTAACATTTTTAACACAGTAGCATTAAATATGTCAGCAGAATACTGATGTTTCTTATCTTTAAGAATGCTATACCATTGTCTCTAAATTTTTTCCAAATCACTTGGAACTATTCTGCAAGTTTTGATTTTATGTTTCTTGATCTGATCACAAGGAGTGAACAGCAAGTTTTGAGACAACAATCAGGAAAGTGTTTTGAAAAGCAATTATGGGAGGGGTAAAACAAGTGAAGGGAACTAAGAGGTACTTGCAGTTATGAAATAAGTCATGGGGCTGTGATACACAACAGCAGGGAATATAGTCAATAATATTACAACAAGTTTGTATGGTGACAGATGGTAATGACTTATCGAGGGGATCATTTCATAATGTATAAAAATATTGCATCACAATGCACACCTAAATCTAATAGGATATTGTATGTCAATTATACTTCAGTAAAAAAATAAGCAGCAGTTATACTCAACATATGTAGTTCTAACAACCCACATATAACTCAATTGAAGTAAATTATATTATCTTTGACCAAGTGCCTTCATAAGTAGGCAATGAGAACTATGCTATGACTGGATTATAAGATGCAATCAATTATAAGACACATCTTGAGATCAAAGTTGTATCTGTAAAAGAGAGAGAAAAAAAAAGTATGCCCTCAATTCCATTGAGTTTTCTATTTTGTCCTAGGAAGTCCCAGTCATAAGCCTATAATATAAGCATATTTCACATGAGTTATGGGTAGAAAAGACATGGGCAATTTTTGGAATCATAAAAACAAGTCTTTCAGATCCCAGGTTTGCTACTAACCAGGTGGGTGGCCTCAGGCAAATTTAATCTTTCTGGCCTCATTGTGTAAAATAATTTCATGATACAACTGAACTATGAGATGTAAATGAGATAAAGTATATAAGGTACTTTCTGTGATGCTTGGTACATAGTAAGCACTAAAGACATTTTAGTTATTTCCCTGAATGTACTAAGGATCAGTGGAGTTCATTTGTAACAAACATGATTATTTCAAAGAGAAGGCGGCAGCAAGGGAGATGGTAGAAACAATAAAATAAAAGGAGCAGAGATTAAAGACTAACAGTTTTGCAAAGGACTTTATTAAAAGGCAAAGTCTGTTCATGAAAATTAGGATTGACAGTTTATATACTATGCCACAAGAAAAAGAGCTTAATTTACCTCCAAAACAAATGTATATGAAAGAGAGATTCATTTTATTCTGTGTAACTTAGAAAATAGAATTAAATTAGAAAACACTCAAGGAAGAGAGTTTGGGCTTCAAAATCTATCAGGTTCTTTTCCACTTTTGTTGGGGTAGCTTTTGAGCTTGTTCTTCCCTTCCCTCTTCCCAAGAGAAGGGCTTTTGTCATGACTAGTTCCTAGGATTCCCTTCCCACAAAGAGGTAGTCCCTCACCACTGTGGCTAACATAAGTCCCCCATTAAGCCTCGAACAGAGCCCTATTGATTTACTTTATAGCTCTAATAAGATTCAGTTATTGTATTGCTCATTTATTAGTATGGCCAGCAACTTAAAAAATGGCATGGTGTTAGGGTTAAGAGCATGGGCTCCAGACCATCACACCCTGCTCTGCCAACCTTTAGCTGCTTTTCTTTGGCAAGATACTTGCACTTCCTTCCTTACCTGCAAATGGGAAAAGAACAGGTTCACTTCACAGACTTGTTGTGAGGAGTAAATGAGTTAATACGTGTGAAGTACATGGTAACTAACATGTAGTGTGCTCCCCCCAAAAATTAGGTGCCAATGTTTCAGTATTAGCTCCCTTTGTTTCAAAGCCTAGTTTCATGCCTGGCTCATAATTGGCAGTCAGAAAATGGGTAATACATAAATGAAAAAAATGGATATTCTGAGGAATGTGTCTAAGGGGACAGTTCCAGCAATGAGAGACATTGCTCTTTGAATTCATAAGTCCCTGTCAGTCAACAGAATTGCTGATTTAACTCTCAGAAAGGTTTCAGAAGTCATTCTATAATCATGTGGGAGATGTACTAGTTAATCACTAAAGTCCCAGCCAACTGGGATATTCTAACTGATCTAAGGTAGTGCTCTCACCACTTCCCCTCTTTGGTGTCCGAGTTTTCTCAAAGGTAAAGTAAAGGTTTTTGACCAGATAATCTCTAGGGTCCCTCCTGTTCTAACATTCTTTGATTTTATATGTAAGCCAGTTGAACCTGTTATTATTATATCTTTCCTCCAAAAACTCCCATAGGAGAAAAGGTTTTCATTCGACAACTCAGGTAAACTGATGCAAATAGCAATTGGAACAGAGTCATTTTACCCCAGGAACAAGGAGCCCTGACAAACTGGGGACCGTGTCTGTAGTTACTGCCACTTGGCGACAGGAACATAAACAGCCCGTTTTCCATGCCTCTTCTTTCCACCACTATATTCTCCTTCACTTCCCACCATCCACAGTGACATAGCCTTGCCTTATGCAGCTCCAAGGAGAGGAATTCCACCCACACAGAACTGCAGAAATCAGAGCCAGAAACCCCTATTAGGTCATGCAAGCCACACCCCTTCCAGCAGAGCAGGAACATCCTATCCAACTGACATTTCAGCTCCTCTTCTGGCTCCAAAATGTGGCTGTGCTTCAGTGGTTCCTGTATATGGTTTGAATAACAGTTTATAAGCATTCTGGGATCCTTTGAAAATAAAGGTTCCATATAAAGTTATATTGCCATTTTGTTTATTATAAAGTGTTTTTGGCCTTTTTAAAAAAATCTTTCTGGGAATAGTCACGTGCAGATTTTTCAAAGAAGAAATTGTACTAGTCAAGCCTTTGACCCAATTTTTATCAAACTTGATAGTCATTTAGAACCTGGTTGATTAATTCCCTGGCTTCCCTGCTATAGATGTACAATAGAAAAGTTAGTTTTGTAAACAATTAAAATATTGCTTAAAGTTTTATATGTTAATTACTGTTAATATATTTTCTTATATGTTCCTCAAGTATATATTTATTTATTGTTAATGTAAATGCTGTTTATTTTTAATTGTATAACAATGCTTTATTGCCTTTGAATATAAACCTTTCTAACTGTTAATTTGCTGAATGTTCAACATTTAAAAGTCTGTTTGCTTGTTTCATTGTGCTGAGTGTACAAATCCAACTTAACATTACTCCAGGTGGCCAAAAAGCCAAATGATTAACACAAATGTCAAACACCACTGGGGAGCCAACCCAAATCCTTGGCTACCATCCAGCTACTGCTCCAGCTCAAGGACAATGGCATTACTTCTCTGTGATGAAGGGAACATGAGGGTGGGAAACAAAGTCCTAAATGACATAGTAAGTAGCACTTTGCATGCTACTTAGGGTTTTCTTCTCTTGGAGAACTTAAGGCAAATAGCCAGGATAATATTTCTTTTTACTACATACACAAACAAAATTAACAATATCACACCCACTTTGCAGAGATGACAGCATGATTGTGGAGAAACAGGGCCAGTGGTCATTGTTACCCAAATCAAGTAACAGAGTCAGAGGGGTGCTAAAATCTATCTTCTAAGCCCGAACCCATAATCATATCCAAGAGACTACAGTTTCTTAAAAATCACCAGTAATGGGAACTACAAAGCACTTCACAAAATGTAAAATGCCTTTAAAAGGTATACTAATCATAATAAGCTTCTGAACTGGGAGAGTTTTTCTCCATCTGAAACTATACTAAAAAGAAGAATCATAAAAAGGAGCAATGCTAAATTTGAGATATTTTTAAGAAATTGCTATACCTTCAGATAATATTATAATGGGGTATAAACTTATCAGTAAAGTTTCATAAGCTAAGGATTATTTCCTGATTTTACAAAGGCTGTTTTTCACATTAGAACACTCCAGGTAAATGCTGTCTACTCTGACATATGACTGATAATGCAAAGGAACCCAACTGTGGACTAGAGTTAGGAATAAACTCAACTTTTAAAACTTTCCAATGGAACAGAGTCCAGAGAGGATTAGAGACAGATATGCCCT